TCAGATACAACTTTTAATAAAAAAACCTACGTATCTGTTAAATATTGGCGCAGTATGTATGCTGTTCCTAATACTGTTGTTTTTTGTAGCTCTAATGTTATTTCTGAGATCTGCAACTGCTTTTTGTTGTTGTTGTTGTTGCTGGTGGCATTCATGGAAGGTTAAAGGAATGTAACAAAGAATTTGTTGGCACATTAAAGACTAAGGCATATATCCTTTTGCTAATCCCAGCTAACTGTACACTGACTAAATCAATTGCTGAACAGTAAGTCAACATTTACGTAAATCCCACTAAGTCATCAATACTTCTCTCACTGGAACCAACAACAGGATACAGGCCCAACGATTTTATTGAAGTTTAACTTTTGCTGGAATAGAACTTATTCTATCAGATGCATTTTCATTAATTGTTAACTGCAGCAAACTTAACAAATGAGTCTGAGAGGAACTTGGTAGTTGGAGTCTACTACCAACTGCCCAATCAAAGAGAGGAAGTGGATAAAACTTGTGAAAAACAAATTGCAGGGTTTTCCACGAGACACAACGTAGTAGTGATGGGAGATTTCAATTATCTAGATATATGTTGGGAGGCAACATATATCTTCCTGGAAGTATGGCCCTTCCAAGAAATTCCTGGCTTGTGTGGCTCATAATTTTCTCCTACAAAAAGTGGAGAAAGAAACTAGAGGATTTACTATCCTTGACTTGATTCTGACCAACAGAGATGACTTGGGAAGTAGCAGTAAGGGGAACTCTAAGCGAGAATGACCATGTCCTTCTTGATTTCAAAGGAAATGAAAGCAGAGTGTAGCCACGCACTTCTGCTGGGTTTTTAAAAAGCCAATTTTGATAATCTCAGAACAAGGATAAGTAAGGTCCCATGGCAGGAGATCCTAGCAAGAAAAGGAGTCCAAGAAGGGTGGGAGCTTCTAAAAAAAGAAATTCTAAAGGCACAACTACAAACAATTCCAACAAGAAAAAAAAGGTGGAAGGCAGCAAAAAAACAAAAAAACAAAAACAAAAACAAAAGGCCAGTGTGGCTTCACAAAAAGCTCAGGAAGGACCTAAAAACCAAAAAAGGTATGTACATAAAGTGGAAAGAAGGCCAAGCCATCAAGGATGAGTACAGACAAGTAGCAAGGAATTGCAGGGATGGTATTAGGGGAGCAAAAGCTGAGAATGAGCTGAGGCTAGCTAGGGATAATGCAATAAAAAAGCATTCTTCAGATATATGAGTAGCAAAAGACAAAGAAAAGACATAGTGGCACAACTGTGCAATGGAGATGGAAAAATTATAACAGAGGACAAAGAAAAGA